ACCCATCTCTGTTAATTTTCAGAACATTTGAAGCCTTAAGACATTTTCACATTGTTGCTGTTTCCATGGCAATGGTGGCCATTTTGGAAAAGTCAAAAGTTTCATCAACACTTGCCAGATAATATTATTGTCAAGTTTCATTAAGTTTGGAGCATTTTAAATTTTTTGACATTTTTGCAGTTTCCATGGCAACAGTGGCCATTTTGGAAATTCCAAAGTCAAAAGTCTCATCTATACCTACCAAGTAACAATCATATTTAGTTTAAGAAAGTTTGGAGCATTTTGAAATTTTGAAATTTTTGACATCTTTGCTGGTTTCCATGGTAACAGAGACCATTCCCAAAATTTAATGACAGATGCCACATTGGTACATTGGAGGGAACATACCATCAAAGTTTCAATGGATTTGACCTACCATTTTAAGAGAGGAAATGTTACTTTAAGGTTTTTGGAGCATTTTGCCCTTATTTGCTTTGTTTCCATGGTAACGGCAGCCATTTTGGAAATTCCAAAGCCAAATTCCACATCAACCAATGTTGCTCATCGTTACTATGAAGTTTCATTAAGTTTTGAACATTTTGATATTTTTGAAATTTTTGATGTAGTTTGCATGCAACATAGTAGTTCCGATGATTGCCAAAATCATCCAATACCAGTATATAGTGGGCACCTACATTGTATTAAAATTTGATGATTTTAAGTTAAAGCATACCCAAATAATTCACCAAACCCTTAAATTTTATTTTTTCACCTTTTTTCGGTTTCCATGGTAACGGCAGCCATTTTTTAGTTCCAAAGTTCCACTGCAACGCAAAAGTTGGTGTTCTTTGTTATAGTGACTAATAATTAAGATTGGTTCCATTGGCTCTGAGAAAACGTCCGGACAAAATTAGGTGGAAGTATAATAATAATAATACAGAAAAAGAAACAGAGGAAAAGCAATATGTCACCCGACATTGTCGATCGGGTGACATAATAATAGGGAAAAAGAAACAGAGGAAAAGCAATATGTCACCCGACATTGTCGTTCGGGTGACATAATAATAATAATAATAATAATAATAATAATAATAATAATAATAATAATAATAATAATAATAATAATAATAATAAGAAACGGGACAAAAACATAAAGTCCCCAAAACTCCGTTTTGGCGACTTAACTAGATTTGTAATTGCTAGTAATAACGGATGGCACCCTCGTTCCCCCATTGCCAGGATTACGGCAGCCATTTTGAAATTTCCAAAGTCAAACTATGCATCTACACATACCAGTTAACATTACTGTAAATTTTCAGAAAGTTTGGAGCATTTTAAAATGTTTGAAAATTTTGTTGTTTCCATAGTAACGGTGACCAATTCCAAAATTCCAAAGACAGATGCCACATTGGCACATGCCATATTACATATCCATATATTTGTATTTGGTTTGATGCAATATTCTACAAGAAAATGAAGCTTTAATGTATTTTCCCATAGGCCCAATGTTAAACTTTCGCCCTGTTTCCATGACAATGGCGGCCATTTTGGAATTTCCAAATATTGTCTTAACATCTAAGCATACCAAGGAAAATTTCCATAAAGTTTCATCCAGCTAGGTCTTATAATGAAAGATTTAGAATTTTGAAAATATTTCACATTTTTGCAGTTTCCATGGAAACGGCGGCCATTAAAAAAAATTCCAGAGTCAGATGCACAACTTCACATGGGGGTCCTCATTATAGTATAGTTCCATTAACATTGGATCACTCAATTCTGAGAAACAGCGTGGACAAAATGTGTGGAAGAATAATAAAAATAACAAGAAAAACTAGATTTGTAATTGCTAGCAATAACGGATGGCACCCTTCCCCCATTGCCAGGCGAGCGGCAGCTATTTAGAAAATTCAAAATTCAAAGATTGCATCTACACATGCAAATTATCATTTTTGTAAAGTTTCATTAAGTTTGGAGCATTTTGAACTTATGGACATTTTTGCTGTTTCCATGGTTATAGCGGCCATTTTGAAAAATCCAACTTCAAAATGCAATTCTGCCCATGCCAGTTACTATTTCTGTAAAGTTTCATCCTGTTTGCAGCATTTTCATTTTTTTGGAAATTTGAACATTTTTGCTGTTTTCATGGTTACAGTGGATGATTCCAAAATTCTAAAAGGAGGCATCTCATTGCCTCATATCATGTTCTATATCAATACAGTTTCATTGACTTTGGTGAAATACTCTTTAATAAAATGCTGATTTGATGCATTTTCCAAAAGGGTCAATGTAAAACTTGCCTCCAGTTTCCATGACAACGGCGGCCATTTCGCACTATCCAAATATTGTCTTGACATCTTAGCATACTGGGTAACATTTTCATAAAGTTTCATCCAGTTGGTTCTTATAATGAAAGAGTTAGAATTTTTGATATTTTAGCTGTCTCCATGGTAACGGCAGCCATTTTGAAAATTCCAAAGTCAAACTCGAATCACCACATGCCAGTTACCATTCCTGTGGAGTTTCTTCCAGTTTGGAACACTTTGATTTTTTTCGCATTTTGGCTGTTTCCATGGAAACGGCGGCCATCTTTTACCATTCCATACCAAGGTGCACAACTTCAGATGGGGGTCCTCATTATAGTTGAGTTCCATCAATATTGGTCCGTTCAATTCTGAGAACTAGCGCGGACAAAAAGTGTGGAAGAAAAATAATAAAAACTAGATTTGCCATTGCAAGCAATAGCGGATGTCACCCTTTCCCCCATGGACACTAAGCGGCAGCCATTTCGAAAATTTTAAACAGTGAATGGACATATTGCATGGCTTTACATCTTTCTGTAAATTTTTAGAACATTTGGAGCATTTTGAAATTTGTACACAATTTTGCTGTTTCCATGGCAACTGCGGCCATTTTGGAAATTCCAAAGCCAGAAGTCTCATTTATACTTGCCAGTTAACATGTATATTAAGTTTCATAAAGTTTGGAGCATTTTGAAATTTTTGAACATTTTTGAATTTGTGCTGTTTCCATGGTAACAGTGACCGATTCTAAAATTTTAAAGACAGATGCAACTTTGGCAGATGACCAGGAATATACCATGAAAGAATCATGGAATTTGACCTACCATTATAAGTGCGTAAATGCTACTTTTAAGAATTTCCCATAGGGGCTAATGGTAAATGTTTCTCCAGTTTCCATGGTAATGGCAGCCATTTTGGAACTTCTAAATATGGTCAACACATCTTGGCATGCCAGGCTACATTCCACTAAAGTTTCATCCAGTTGGGTCTCATAATGAAAGATTTAATGAATTTGCAATTTTTATTTTTTTTCACATTTTTTCTGTTTCCATGGTAACGGCAGCCATTTTTTAGTTCCAAAGTTGCACTGCAACTCGAAAGTCCGGGTTCCTTGTTATAGTGCCCCATCATTTAGATTGGTTCCTTTGGCTCAGAGAAAACGGGTGGACAAAATTAGGTGGAAGAAAAATAATAATAATAATAATAACTAGATTTGCCATTGCAAGCAATAGTGGATGTCACCCTTCCCCCATTGCCACTAGATTGCAGCCAGTTTTAAAATTTTAAACAGTGAAGGCACATATATACTGATGGCTATACATCTTTCTGTAATTTTTTAGAACATTTAGCGGATTTACAAATTTTACGCACAATTTTTCCTTTTTTGCCTTGTTTCCATGGTAACGGCAGCCATTTTGGAAATTCCGACGCCAATTGCCGCTTCCACACATGACAGTCAACATTATTGTGAAGTTTCATTAAGTTTGAAGCATTCTGAAATTTTAAAATTTTTGCTCCTGTATCCATGATAACATAGTAGTTCCAATGATTGTCAAAATCATTCAAAACCTGTATATAATGGACAACTATATTGTATACAAGTTTGATGATTTTAAGTTAAAGCATACGAAATTTATTCACTAAACCCTGAAGTTTTTGGAACATTTTGACCTTTTTGCATTGTTTCCATGGTAACAGCAGCCATTTTGGAAATTCTAACTCCAAATGCCACATCTTCCAATGTTGCTCATCGTCACTGTGAAGTTTCATTAAGTTTGGAGCATTTTGATATTTTTAAATTTTTGGTGTAGTTTCCATGGCAACATAGTATTTCCAATGACTGCCAAAATCATCCAACACCAGTATATAGTGGGCACCTACATTGTATTAAAATATAATGATTCTAAGTTTAAGCATATCCAAATAGTTCACTAAAACCAAAAACTGGATTTTTTCACATTTGTTCCGTTTCCATGGTAACGGCAGCCATTTTTTATGTTCTTAAGACCTACTGCAACCCGAAATTTTTTGTTCCTCATTATAGTGAACTATTATTAAGATTGGTTCCATTGGCTTCAAAAAAACTGCCGGACAAAAATCATTGGAAGAATAATAATAATAACAAAGAAACAGAGGAAAAGCAATATGTCACCCGACATTGTCGATCGGGTGACATAATAAGAAAAAAAAGAAACGTAGAATAACAATATGTCACCCCAACTCCGTTGAGGGTGCCATAAAAAGAAACGTAGAATAACAATATGTCACCCCAACTCCGTTGAGGGTGCCATAAAAAGAAACGTAGAATAACAATATGTCACCCCAACTCCGTTGAGGGTGCCATAATAATAATAAGAAACGGGACAAAAACATAAAGTCCCCAAAACTCCGTTTTGGCGACTTAATGATAAGAACTGAGCAAAAACAATAAGTCTTCCCAAACTTCGTTTGGGAGACTTAATTAAACGAGTCAGAGGAAAATGTTGGTGTTATCGACGCTTACCCCCTTAAATATCTTCAACTTTTGACACAATATGAAGAATACATGTAACTGAACAAACTGAGCCCCATTAAAATTATTTTCTGGTCTTACTTACTTTGAATTCTTTATTGTTAGTTGTTTCAGTTTATCATTGTAAATAGCGTATTCAATAATATCTTTTCATTTTCTGTTTTTGTATTTGATAAACATTATATTTAACAATTTTGTCCCTATTTCAGATGATTCAAATTCAAGTTCCAACAGCAAGGACATACTGATTGCAATTTTAATAGGTATCGGAGTTTCCGGAATTATAATTTCCATTATTTTGTTTTTGTTTTTCGCAGTACTCAAATATGAATGCTGTGTGTGTAATGAAACCCAGTCGTACAGAACGGACTCTCCTATGTTTAACCATGTTAACAGATCTGGATCAGTAAAATCTAATTATAGCCATAATATTCAAATTACTAGTGATGAAACAAAACACCCATTTATCAAACCTTTGACATACCCCAAAGATGAAAAAACACATAGAGAAGAAAAAGGATGGATTTCCAACAATCGAGTGCATCGCGATAATGGATTTGACGATAATTACGTTACAGATAGTTTTTGATGTTTTATTTGTCTGAAATATTGAAATAGCATTTGCAGTTACGATCATTGTTGCATTGATAAGTATTATATATATCGATTATTAAATTGGGTATGTACGGCGGGCGGGCGGCTGCCAAACAGTGTCTCCACAATAACATAAATACGCTTTGACAATTCTTTTTCAAATTTAAATATGTTGTTTCCTTGGACTTAATGAAGGTTTTGTTCAATTTTCAAGATTTCAGTATTTCTCCTTTTTGAGTTATCGCCATTTTTGTCTCACCTCTGACGAAAGTCGCAGATAGTGAGACATAGGTATTACTATCCGGCGGCGGCGTCGGCGACGGCGGCGTAAACTATTTGTATAAAGCTTTATATTTCAGAAGGTAGAAGACCTGGATGCTTCATACTTTGTATGCAGATACCTTATGTTACGAACTTTCCGTCTGTCATATGTCCAATGTCCTTGACCTTATTTTCATGGTTCAGCGACTGCTTGAAAAAAAAGTTTAGTTTTTTTGTTATATAAATTTCTCACTTATTATGAGTAATAGGATAACTATATTTGGTATATGGGTTCCTTGCAACGTCTACATGTCCATCAGACAGGGTTCACCTGACCTCAGCCTCATTTCATGGATCAGTGATCAAGGTTAAAGTTACGTGATTAGGTCCGTTTCTCAGATACTACAAGCAGTAGGTCAGCTATATGTGGTGTATGAAATGATTAATAGGGATACATGTCAGTCTGGCAGGTTTCATCTGACCTTGACCTCATTTTCACGGTTCATTGGTCAATGTTAAGTTTTTGTGTTTTGGTCTGTTTTTCTAATACTATAAGCCATTGGTCAACTATATTTGGTGTATGGAATGATTGTAAGGTGTACATGTCTGTCTGGCAGGTGTCATTTGTCCTTGACCTATTTTCATGGTTCATTGGTCAATGTTAAGTTTTTGTGTTTTGGTCTGTTTTTCTAATACTATAAGCAATAGGTCAACAATATTTGGTGTATGGAATGATTGTAAGGTGTACATGTCTGACTGGCAGGTGTCATTTGTCCTTGACCTCATTTTCATGGTTCATTGGTCAATGTTATGTTTTTGTGTTTTGGTCTGTTTTTCTAATACTATAAGCAATAGGTCAACTATATTTGGTGTATGGAATGATTGTAAGGTGTACATGTCTGTCTGGCAGGTGTCATTTTTCCTTGACCTCATTTTCATGGTTCATTGGTCAATGTTAAGTTGCTCTTGTTTGGTCCTCTTCTCAGATACTATAAGTTATAGGTCAACTATATGTGGTGTATGGAATGATTGTAAGGTGTGCACGTCTGTCTGACAGGTTTCATCTGACCTTGAGCTTATTTTCATGGTTCATTGGTCAATGTTAAGTTTCTGTTGTTTGGTCTTCTTCTCAGGTGCTATAAGTAATAGGTCAACTATATTTGGTGTATGGAATGTATTTTATTATTTAACTGCTGATTACTTACATTGAAATAGATTATTTTATAAAAATCTTTAAATAACATTAATAATGATAATAAATAATAAAAACTTTTAAGGGATCATTACTAAACCGTGATTAACAAAAACATTGGAAGGTGTGAAAATGTTAAAATAAGGTCACTCATGCATGAATGTTTAACACAGAATACAGTTCACTCCAGTCCCTTCATAAAGATTAATTGGCTGAATATGTACAGATTGAAGAACTTTTGAATTTTTGTTTGCACAACAGAATCACATTTACTGATTTTTGATACATATGAAATAAGATAAGTATTGAGATAAGTAAAAAATATTTTAGCATAGCAACATAAATAGATAAATAGATAATATGAAAATATGACTTTTTACAATATTTTGATCAAAGATTGAAGATAATTTTAGTAAAATGATAACTTTATTTGGCATGTGCGTACCTTGCATGGTTCACATATCTGTCAGACATATTTCATTTGACCTTGACATCATTTTAATGGATCAGTGAACAAGATTTAGTTTTCATGATAAAGTCCATATCTCAAATTCTATCACCAATAGGTCTTCTATATTTGGTGTATAGAATGATCGTAAGGTTCACATTTCCAACTGGTAGATAAGTGATAAGTTCATAAAATTTTCTGTATGGAATGAATGTTATGTGTATATGTCTGTCTGACAGGTGTCATCTTACCTTGACCTCATTTTATGGTTCATTGGTCAAAGTTCAGTTTCCTCAATGAGGTTTGTTTCTAAGATACTTTAGGCAATATATGTTAAATAAATTTGGTGTATGGAATGCTTGTACGGCCTACATGTTTGTCTGATAGGGTTTATCTCACCTTGACTTCATGTTCATTCATCATTAAAATGTTAATTTAATGTAAAGCTTATATAAACTTATTTTTTTTACTTTCAACATAAATTTCAATTATGAACACTAAAACAGGCGAGACATTTCAGTGTGTCCACTCTTGTTAATATCCAAAATTGGGTATTTTTAAATATTTTTCTCTCTTGTTATCATATTATAAAGGTAAAGCATATGGTAAAAGTCTCATCTCACAATTATAATTAGAGTGACAGATTTATTAGAAAATTTTCTGTTTCCTGATAAGATCTGTAGGACTGTATATATAAAGTTTCAAATTTACTAGTAGGACTGTATAAATGAAGGTTGAAATTTACTGTTCATTATTAGACACTTTGAAGATAATTACAGATAAGTTTGATAGGTTTTTAAGAGATAGACATTTTGAAGTTAATTACATTACTAATAATTATATACGTAATGTTAGAGTACTTTGTTAAAAGGTTAAACCATAGTTCTGTTCAAGGGGAAATAACCCTTCAATTTGCAAGCATGATTTTAATTATTAATTTTCTTTTCTTTGGTAAATTGTTTGAAGAATTTTATGGTGTGTTCGTTATTCTGTAATAACTAATTTTCTGAGTGATATATGTATACAATAGTTTTGTTGTGTCTGTTAATTTTAATTTTTACTTGATCCTGTTTGGGGTTCCAGATTTGAAAATTCATTAGATAATAATCTATTATTTATAAGTTAAAAAGTTAAAATTAAGATAGGATAAGTTGCAGATCTATATTAGTATGTTACAGATGAAAGAAAAAATATTGGGAACTATCAACTATATATATAAAGTTTGATTTTGATTTATACACTAAGTGATAAGATAACACACATCTGGTAATTTTCAATACAATCACCCAATTATAATTGGAGTGACAGATTTATTAGAAAACTATTATTTATATTTGATTATAATTTTAAAATAAACATAAATCATATCTCTTAACATCATATCTAATTTTAGAGTCTATGGTTAAATCATATTTGATTTTAGATTAACATGATTAGTTCATGGAAATAAAGTTTAAGTTATTTCCATTTGAACAGAAATGGTTTAACTAAGAAGTATTTCATCAGCAATTGAATTCTTGGGGTTCTTTGATATGATGATTCTAGCAATGTACTTAGCATTTGGATATTGGACCATAATAGGTAAATGTTCAATTTCAAAACTTTCAGTTCTTTGACAACATTTATTTTGTGTCACAAACCCATGCTGTATTAAATATTCAATCACAATCCAAATTCAGAGCTGTTTTAAGCTTAAATGTGGTGTCAATACTTGCTCAACTGTTCAGGGTTTGACCTCTGCAGGAAAATCAGGTTTGCTGTCATTCTGACAGCCTCTTGTTATTTATAAATTGAAAGGACGTTGAAAGTACATCATTCCGGATCCTTGTCTAATCTCATTTATATTTGTACCCAGGCATATATACACAATTTATTAAGGGGCTAGCTGAGGACCACCTCCGGGGTTACGGGATTTTCTCGCTGCGTTGAAAACCCATTGATGGCCTTCGGCTGTTGTCTGCTCTTTGGTCGGGTTGTTGTCTCTTTGACATATTCCTCATTTCCATTCTCAATTTTAACTTTATTTTATGATGTATTTGATAAGCAGAAATTAACAGAATAGATTGATATAAACACAAAATACTTTTACTTAAAACATACAATTACAAAATTTATTTGCTTTTCGCTAGATATGAATAATTTATACATTATTTGTAAACCTCTTGACAACGAAATTGCGGACGGTACGTTTTTGTCAATAAATTGTAATATTTGAAGCTAAAAATACAAAAGCATATCCAATTGTTCTGTTACTGCTATTAATAAAAAAGCAGGATTTTCAATATAAAGGATCTCTCATAGTCAGTTGTTGAAAATTTCTTGTCAATCTACAGTAAATGTTTAATGAGTAATTTTTGTTTTAAAAACATATACTCATATTTCAGAACCATATTAAAAATCAAAGGTGTTAAACTGTGATTAAAAGGCGTGTGCATAACAGTAATAATTAACATTTTATCATTCATTCATTTATGAGATTTATTTATTGCTTCATATATGTATTTATTTATTGCTTCATTTATGGTATTCATGTATTGCTTCGTTTATGTAATATGATTAAAATATCCGTGTATAAATACACATTGGAATGATTTATATTCATGGATTGCTTCGTTTATGGTATGCATGTATTGCTTCGTTTATGTGATATTGTTAAAATATCCGTGTATTAAATCACATTGAAATGATTTATATGGAAAGAAATAATGGTATTTATCACAGAAATCATTGTATATAACATTTTATCATTTTTAAATTTTTAAAATTTACTGTTGGTAATTTGTTATATTTCGAAACACTAAATAAACACATCATAGATACTAGGATTAAAAAGGTTTTCTACCTACAGGCATATATAATCTTAGCAAGATTCGGAACAACGTTCTGGAAATTTTTTTTTTCTAATGCCTTTCAACTTTTTTATTAGTCCCCTTCCGACGAAGTCGAAGGGGACTTTAAGTTTTCACTCCGTCCGTCTGACTACCTGTCTGTCTGTCCATCCGTCAGTCCGACATATCAGTTTTCCACACTTTTTTCTTCGTACTTGAAGATATTGATTTGATATTTGGTATATAGTTTCATCATGACAAGTTACAGATCAAGTTCGAATTTTATTCCGGTCTGATGATTTTGTGCAGAGTTATGGTCCTTGGACTTAGAAAAT